ATTTCTCGCGTCCTTTGATGAGCAAAACCACCGCTTGTGACCATTAGAGAAAGTTACTTCCGTTCAGTTTATGGGTTGTAATCAAGAAGCTCATGTTGGTTTCCGGTACTTGGGAAGTTGGAGTTGATCCTCAGGTGTAATCAGGAACATATTCTGAAGGTGGCTTAGTGTTGGAGGAATTTGCTATAATTCCGACTGAGCCAAAGGAGAGGTGGTTGTGATTCTGAGCCATCGACAAATTCCAGTAGGGTCACCGAAAGATAGATACAACTGCAGTAATCCAAACACCTGCAGTGAAGACCGATAAGGAAAATAGCACCTGCTGGAACTGGTAGCTTGCGCTTGTAGAAGGTAGATAGAGGAATCTACAAGGAATCTGCCGAGAGAAGCAGGTATGATTGGGATCTGTAGGGAGAAGCAGGGAATAGCCTCGTTGCAGGGACCATGCTGAAGTTTTCCCGGGAGAAACCACACTGTAGAGGAGAATGCTGCACGAATCTTCTGAGGCGGGCCACGCTGTAGAGGACATAACATTGAATTTTTCTGTTTGCGGGGGGGGGGGGTGGTGGGTGGGCGACAACAAGTTTTTAGTAAATGAGCTCTAGCTTGAGCAATCTTCTATAGGCGACGAAAAGTCAACTGTAGGATGCTAGTTTCATGGACTAATTTTTTTGTTTGCATTCATCCATAATTTGAGAACTTTAACTTATTTAACATTACACTTTGACGTTGGTGTAATGATTGCACACTGTTCTTTGTATTCATGCCATACAAAACGTCAATTTTGGAGGACGCCCTATTATTAAAGTCTTAAAAATTTTTAAATAAAATATTTAATTTCTAAACTATTTGTAATTATTTTGTTTTAGTGATGTTCAATAAATTAGTATTTATATAACTCTAGTTAGCTCAGGTTTTAACTGCTTGATTAGCTCATCGATTGATATGCTCGATTTAATGCTTTGATAAAGCTAAATGAACTGCTTGATTAATAAGCTCAATCTCAGTTTGATAAAGCTAAATGAGCTTATCGATTAATGCTTATTAAAATCGGTCTTGAGCTGAGCTCAAATTGAATTTAAACAATAATAAATTAAAACGAGCTAAGCTCGAATAATAAATTAAAAATTTGAATCGAGCTCGAGCCAAGTTTGAACAAGTTTTTAGTAAATGAGCTCTAGCTTGAGCAATCTTCTATCTAATTCGGCTCGGTTCGTTTTTAGCCTTATTTTTACTCAGCCTCAGTGTTTCTCATTAGGAAAAACTGGTTAGCTTTACTTAATATTCATTTAACAATCAAGCTTAGCAGATTTGCAAGTGCAATCTGGTTGCTCAATGCTTCCTCAATCTGCTGCCACCTTCATCAAATCTTGATGAATATGCAACACTTGTGTAGATTGTGATGCACTACCAATACTTTTTTTTTTGTAAAATGACGACAGGAGTTGAAGAAAGTCCATTTCATGCTTGTGGCAAAATGGAAGGAACTCAATAGGATTCCAACAATACCGCAAAAAACAAAAAGCTGCGTAGATTTTGTAAATTACTATCAAGCCTACCAAAAAGATCAAACATGAATTTACGAAATGTTAAGATGGATTTTGTTGGATTCAATTGTTAGCATGTATTGGTAAGCCCATTCCAAGATGACTGCTTTTGTTGGAGACAAAAAAAATTCCTTTTCCGTCTTTTCTATTTTGACCTAGAAAGGGGTTGCTTATTCTTTGTAATTAAATTTACATGAGAATTTTTGAAGCTTCAATTGTTTTCCTTCTTGGAAAAAATCTCCTTGCCCCCCGTATATCACAATATAATTGTGATCGACTGCTGAGAAGCAATGTCTGTCTCCCTTCATGATCTAATATTCTGAATAGCCGCGATATGAGCTATACGGTCATGAAACAATTACAGTCTACAGGAAAGTCGATGAATCACAACATATAGAAGTTTCATACCACTGTTGATCGAAATTCATTATCGAGATTGCTACATAAAGGAGTTCCGCAACGCTTGTGACCAGAACTCATTATTAGGATTTGCTACCGACTTGAATCCATATTGCGAGAGGCCAACAACAGGATTTGCAGTGCCGAACCAACTAACGAGAATTCAGATTGTGGCTTTTGGAATTCTGCGTGGCTTCCAATAGTCCAAGACATTTACATTTCAAACTTATTTTAATTTCTAAGAGTTTAAATTTTAAAAATCAAGATTCCAATTTATTTTTAAATTTAAATGATCTATATTTTAAATTATTTTACAAGTTCAAAAGTTAGAAACATTAAGTTATTTGCAAGTTCAAGTTCACCAGGAATTTTGGCAGCCTCCTGACGCCATCCCTGCTTAAGGGGGCTACATCGGGGGTGTATGCCTGCAACAATCTATTAGACGAGCTGGTCAATGTTGCAAGACACTGCATCTGAAAAAAATCTTCTAATCCACATGTCTATAAAATGTGGGTGGTTTTCAAGTAACTTGCATGAAAATGATAAAAGCACAATTTCCTTGTGTTTATACCATTGATTGTGTTGCGGCGTTGACAACAAGAAGAAATCGGTGACTTGTTGAATTTCAATATAATAGTTCTTCTCTTCCTTTTTTATTATTCTGTATTTTTTTAATATAATATATAATATATACATATTTTATATTTTATAATAATAATATGTGATTTATGCATTTGGGACTATAGTGAATGGATTCAGGCATAGATACATGCGTGTTCAAATTTCGATTGGGTGCTTGTGCGGTTCAATTAGGGAAGGCAGGGACCGCATCGCTTGAACACGGGGTAAATAAGAATTTTTGAAGGTTTTTGTGTGCTGTGATCTCTTCGTTGCTCTTCACACTAACTTTTTGTCAATATGCACAAGGGAGATACATGGGAGCTCTTAGGGGTTGTTTAGCAACAAATTTAGGCCCAAATTTAACATGGATGTAGGCTAAATCTTGTCATACAGTTATTTTGGATAAAATAAAGCCGCAAATTTGATTAATCTGGATTTCAACGATTTCGATCGTAAATTCCAGATCTAGTAAATCCCATGACTTGGTGGATTTACTAGATTTGATGAAAGAGCTATTGGGATTTAATAGAACTTGCCAAACAGTTTTACTGGATTTATAGGATTTAGTGAATCCATTGCCAAACAATTTTTCGGATTTAACTCATTTAGGATTTAGTAAACCAGATTTATGGGATTTACTAAATCTTAATAACATAAGTCTTAACTTTTGTCAGACAACACCTTAAGGTTTTTGTATACCGTGATCTTGTCGATGTCTCCACAGTTAGCCCTAACAACAAGTAATGAGGAGCAAAAGAGTTTTAGAGGTCTCTGTGTGCAATGATCCTGTTGTCATCTTTACAGATAGCCCTAGCCATTCTTTCCTCGAAGGACTTCTCTACATCTTCGTCCGCAGCGATCCCATGGTGGCTTCTTCAATTAGTCCTAACCGTACATGTGGGTTGGTGTCACACATACAGGGAAGGAAAATAGGAATTTTGGTTGTCCTCGTGTGCAGCGATCATGTCATTGGCTTCTCTTGGCTCCAATCACAAGTGTCATGAGGGTTTCATTCTAGAGACAACACGAAAGAGAGAAAGATGGGTGTTTCAAAGATCTTTGTACGCTACAATCCCTCGTTGTCTTTTCCGCTATCTCTAGTTGCGAATGGCTCGTGAATCACATCCTGAAGAGGAAGAATGAGGGGTGTTTCTAAGTTCTGTATAGTGTCCCGTGCTATTTTGTAGAAATGAAGAAAAAGTAAGGAGATATAAGGATCAACAGGAATAATTAGGAAATCATGAGGCAGGAGTAGTTAGACTCTTTATTTATTTTAATTTAGTTTTTTATTTATTTAAAATATTTTGTTAATTTAGTTTTAACATTCAACACTCACGTACGTGATTAGAGGTTGCATGGGCTCACCTGAGGATTGGAACCTTTTTCTGTACGATTGGTTGATTTTCCCTGGTCTGGGAAGGGCCGGTCCCATCCAATCCTTCCTGGAACATTGTAAGGTTGGGCGTAATCGAAACTTACCAACAATTTTCTGCCAATAAATTCTTGAGATGAAGAGATGTTGATCTTGCAGAGGGTTATTTGTGTAGGCTTCCGTTGTTGTTGCAGTTGTCATCTGATATTGGGGAAAGGAGTGGTACTTAGGGTTCACTCCTCTTTTGTTCCACTTTTTGTATTGTCACTTATAAAACCATGTCCCTGTATTCACCATGGAATGATATGCATTATATTAATAGTGTGCTTGTTGCCAATTTTTTGATGCTATATTTTTCTAAGTTTTCCTTGTGGATGATGTCTAACATGGCTCATTCTGATTCCAGATTTATATTCCTTTAGGTATGTCTTCTTGCAGATGTTGTGCAGCATGTCATGGATGCTCTGTTGGACTATGATGCTTCCTATGTATATGACGATGTTAAACATGCAATCCAGCATGTGCTTGGAAGTGGAATTCTTCATAGAACTCTTCTCTTTTGTTCCACCTTTTGTATTTTCACTTATAAAACCATGTCCCTGTATTCACCATGGAATGATATGCATTATATTAATATTGTGCTTGTTGCCAATTTTTTGATGCTATATTTTTCCAAGTTTTCCTTGTGGATGTTGTCTAAAATGGCTCATTCTGATTCCAAATTTATATTCCTTTAGGTATGTCTTCTTGCAGATGTTGTGCAGCATTTCATAGATGCTCGGTTGGACTATGATGCTTCCTATGTATATGACGATGTTAAACATGCAATTCAGCATGTGCATGGAAGTGTTGGAAGTGGAATTCTTCATAGAACTCTTCTCTTTTGTTCCACCTTTTGTATTTTCACTTATAAAACCATGTCCCTGTATTCACCATGGAATGATATGCATTATATTAATATTATACTTGTTGCCAATTTTTTGATGCTATATTTTTCCAAGTTTTCCTTGTGGATGTTGTCTAAAATGGCTCATTCTGATTCCAAATTTATATTCCTTTAGGTATGTCTTCTTGCAGATGTTGTGCAGCATTTCATAGATGCTCGGTTGGACTATGATGCTTCCTATGTATATGACGATGTTAAACATGCAATTCAGCATGTGCATGGAAGTGGAGTTCTTCATAGAACTATTCTTTCTGATCCCGAGAAGTATTTGATGAAAAATGTAAGCACTTCCCTTCCTCCATAGCTAGTCGAATGAACCAGATTGCCCTCCAGGGATGACAACGATTGGAATTTCTTGTATCCATTTGCAGGATAAAGTACTAAAGTTTCTAACTAAGCTTAAGGAGAAAGGGAAAAAAATATTCTTATTGACCAATTCTCCATATTATTTTGTCAATGGGGGAATGAGGTTCTTATTACAGGTGCTATTCAGTGATTTGTTACTCCTTTTTTAAATTTTCATGCTGCTTGTACTTTGATTTTGTTTATATATTTTCTGCATGCATTGATTTGAGTTCCACGATTTTCTATGAAAAGAATTTAATAAGAGGTAATCTAATTTGATGAAATATATATATTTATTTCTTAATAATGATTATTTTTATACTTATTTTTCTTTTAACCTATTCATTATATGTCTATAAATTGGACCTTACAATTTGGTATGGTAAGCCTTATCTGTTTTAACGCCACTGCTCTACTTTTTGACGTTCCTTTCATTAAGTCGGGCCACTTGAGTGTCCCCATGCCATGAATTGCACGCAATAAGTCTATTATTTTGTCTTTTGCATGTTGCTGCTCGTGACCATGCTTCTGTACATTGTGTATTTGTGTGCGTCAAAGCACGACACATTCTCTTGAGCTTGCATGCTGCAACACTCTTATGCTTGCAGGCTACTGTTGTCTCTGCCTTGCTACTATTTTGGTTGTGCTTTCCTGCTTGCCTGTCTATACTTGAATGCACTCTTATGGCATGTGCACTAGTTGTCCCACTGGTCATATGCGCATCATCATTCATACTCATTGTTATAGTTGTTCCTCATGCCCTAGCTAGCATTTGAACCTCTTATAACAGCTCTCTATCAGCGAGTTCATCTAAAAAAAATATTTTGAAATAATAGCCCTCATTGCATAAACTATCAAGACCTAAACTAATTATGTCCGTTTTCATTCATTTCGGTGTTTCTCAAGGTGTCATGACATATTTTTTATTTTTATTTTTGAGATAACTATACCATGAATCTGTGGTACCAACTCTCCTCTATGGTCGAGGGATTTCAATATTCTCACGACAAGCTGTTTCTTCTTGGATGGAAATGCAGAATTTAATTTAAGGCACATTTAGTGGAATTTGAACCAACAATTGCCTAATCAAAGTTACAGGCAAACTTCATAATCTTAATGAATATTCTTCGAAGAGGAGATGTTAGATGCAAGGACCCATTTTAATTATTGGGAGAAAATGAATGAAGAATCGAAGAAGATGAAGTGACGAGTCGGAAACCAAATAGAGAGGGAGAGGAAATTGAATAGAAGAGGAAGTGAGGGGGATTGGTAAGTTCGCCCTATAAATTGCCCTATAATGGAGGTAGGAAATTATCAGGAGATTCGAACGAAGACGTTGAGGGTTTCACTGTTGTGTTGAGCCACGACATCGATAGAGAGAAGAAGCCAAAGAAGATGCGTCAGTGTCGAGCGGAGGAAGAAGAGACACCGTTGTCGTGCAGATGAGGCGAGTGCGGGAGTTCCCATGCGCTCGATCCTGACGAACGAGTTGCAGAAGAAGAAAAGTAAGAATAGCTGAGCTTGTGCGGGAGGGAGCTAAATCTAGAGCTCTCTCGTGCACAAAGGACCAAAATCGCGTGCAGGGGAGGAGGAAGATTTTTACGCATGGTTTAGGGCTCGATTGAGGTAATTTTTAATGATATTTATTTAAACTGATTTAATAATAAAATTATATATGGATGTATGTATATAATTAAAATGCTCTTTCCAGCTTTCAGGACGCTTGTTTTTGGCTTAGCAACTTGCGCTACTTTTGTTTCAATTTTTATACATGTTCATATGGGGTATACTTCATTTGTTGGGTATACATTTTGTTTGGATACATGTATTTTTGGATTATATTTACCTTTGTTTCATCTTTCTTTCTTTTTTGGGTGGAGTTGTAATGCGGAAGAAGGAACCCCTAGGACTATATTTATTTTCTTTATTTTTAGCGGGGATTCTCTTTTCCTCGCTTATTTTTTAACCGCCTTTGATATTAACGTATAAGGAGCCACGAGTAGCTGTTTATATAAATCACGATGTTGGCTGCGGTCGAGAGCTTTGCTAGGGTTGCCAATGACGATTTCCGTCGCATTTGATTCTGTCGCTCGAAGGAGAGGGCTCGCACATCACCTCTGTTTCGTTGACTCTCGCTGCTCATCCTCTGCTTCGTCCCTACGTTACCACGTCTCTTCGACGCCGTCAGCTCACGTGTCGCGTCTGCATCAATGTCGGCGTCTCACTCGATTTCGTCGCATTTGGCTCGCGTCTACGTCGACTTCGTTGCGTCTGCATCTTTCTATTTCGACTCTGCGTCTCTTCCTGCTCGTTGAACGAAATTCTCATTCTAACTTCTCGGTGTGCTTTTGCGAGGTAAATTCAGACGTGTTCGAAGCGTTAAATGATTGTGGATTTACCCTTGGAACAGACAAAAGGGATGACATCAAACTTTGCGCCGGTGAGATCTCTCCAGAAAATCAGTTTTCAAAATTAAACTACATTTTCAAAACAAAATAATTTTAAAAAAATTAAACAATATTTTCAAAAGAAAACAAAAAAAAGACATAACACATACTTTTGAATTTACGGGAGTCCCTCAGATAAAGTAATCCACAGTTGCTAACGAGATCTTCTCAATTTAAATGAGCTTAACTGCTCGTTTAAACTAAGTAAATTCAAAAGAAAATAGTGATACCGGAACGAGGGAATCGTGAGATTCTAACCGGTCTAACCGGTGTCACCGGTGTCACTCTAATTAACTTTAACACCCTCATAATGCTGGATGACAATAAAATCAAAACCTTGAAACACAACTGGTAAAACCTTTTGAACATTAGACTTTAGGACTGCTATTTCGACGAGGTGCATTTAACCAACTTTGTGGGCAACACGGCAAGGAGCTTGGATCGAGCAACAAGAAAATCTTCTTCAACAATCTCTCTCCTTGTCTAAATAATAATCCATAAGACTTCGAGGTAGCTCGCTCAGCACGACGTAAATTCTCACATCCTCTTTAGGCTCCTGTACAACCATTTTGTGCAGCGTAAGCCCTAACTCGCCTTAGGTTCCGAGGTTGTCGTGTGACACGACCTAAACCCTCTTATCTCTGCGGGCTATTTGCATAATCAGATATTATGCAAATGTAAGTCCCAAATAATAAAATTAGCATGATTAAACACCTAAATAACATCTTCTCAAAAACTCAGTCACACATTAGGCTAGTTTGGGAAGTCTCTGAGGGTTCTATTCAGGATTTGTGACTTCCCCTACCTTCTTCTTTTTTTGGACTCCTGAAGATAACTGTTCCTGCTTGAGCTACTCTCAGTTGCTTTTCCACGTCCTACTGTGAAAACCTAAACCTCGAATTAATGAAGACTAGTACCTCTGATCATTATCGAGAGTTTTCTCAAGCGACTTACATCATTTGTGTTGTAATTAACTATAGGGGTTTGCCTCTACAGGGAACTTAGAACCCAGGTAAAATAAACGCTATTTAATATTTATATTAGATACGAGAACTTGTTGGTCACACATAAAATGTTCGCAGACCAAATTGATGTCACAAATATCTTAGTTTGCAGGATTGGGTCTATCGTCGAGGTATACACTTATCTTTCAGGAAGGGGTAATATATGCGGTATCAGACATGATTATGTAAACTATTAGACTAATGAGATCCATTTAGTCTCGTCTTTCGAAAATTGAAACATACTACTTTTAAAACCCAAACTCACTCATATTGTCCGAGTCATCAGGAAGACGAAACATAAAATTTCATGCAATCGTGGTGAAGACGTGGAGTTCAGAGCATGTTAACAATGATGATTTTAAGAAGATTGATTGTTTTATGAAGCACTCATTTTAAAATATATAAACTAACATAAGAATAATATTAATAATATTATTAAGATAATAATTGTTAAAATAAAGTGATGGTAAATGTTATTGACGCAAAGAGAGATATAAATACCCATTACATGATCTATTAGTAAGAAAAAAAATAAAAAACATGATACAATAAAAAAAGGAAAGGAATAATGAAGAATCCAAGCTAGTAACTCATAATAAACATGAATTAATAATGACTAAAACTAGCCAGTAATAAATATTATAATACTTTCCCTCAAGTTGAAGCATAGATGTCAGTCATGTTTAACTTGAATTTAAAGTCATCGAACAGTGGTGGAGGAATGTTTTTTGTGAGAATATTCTTCTGCTGGCCACCAAATGACACAAACAGAACAAAAATTTTCCTCGAATTTGAGTTTTTTTTAATGAAGTGTATGTCAATCTCAACATGCTTGTTGCGATCGTCTTGGGCCGGGTTGTGAGTAATACTAATGATTGCCTTGTTATCACATAACAACTGTAGGGCAGCAGAGACTTTCATACGTAGTTCGTGGAGCATGATACGTAACTAGAGAGCTTCACAAATTCCAAGGGAAATGGATCAAAATTTGGCTTCCACACTTCTTCGAGTCCACAAACTGCTTCTTGCTTTTCCATGTGACCATGTTTCACGACACAAATGAGCACTCCCCCGAGGTAGTTCTCCTATCATGGATGAACCCGACCTAATCAACGTCTGTGTAAATCACGATAGAATGAGAAATGTGGCGGGAAAAAAACAAACCTGTTTGATGTGCTTTTTAAATAGTGAAGAATTCAGTGGACAACTACGAGGTGGTGCTCATAGGGATCATACATGAATTGACTGACTATCCTAACAACATGACATGTCATGGCTTGTATGGGCAAGATAGATTAGTTTCCCCACATGACGTTGGTTGTGAGTCTTGTTTACAGGAACTACATTGGGAACATCAAGAAGTTTTTCATTAGGATCAATTGGGACAACCACTAGTTTTCACAGGAGAAGATTGTTGTTTGTCAAAAGGTAAATCATATATTGTCTTTGAGATGGGCAAATGCCCTGAGATGACCGAGTAACTTGCATGCTTAAGTGGTACTAGAGAGATCCCAAGTTATTCATTTCAAAGGAATCAATAAGAATACTCTTAAGAGACACTATTGCTGGTGGATAAATACTCGTGAGAACAATATTATCAACATAGACGATAATAATAGCTACCTGGTCGTTGGAGGAATTCATGTAGAAGGGAGTGTGATCCGATTGAGTCTGAGTGAATCCATG